GCATCGAGTTGCGTATATCTGTTGATGGTTTGGGAATAATCAACAACCATCCTCTTTTTATGGTTCTCATTAGTCGTTATTAGGGTCTCCAAGGTGATTTGCTGGGCTCTATAATATTTTCCTTAAAAAGTCTCTTCACTTCCATTGCAATAAATTCCTTGTCTTTGAGCGAATAACGTCTGGATTTTACGGCTATAGGTTTACAATCAGAGGTTAGATTTGAGAAGAGAGATGGATATTGGACTTTTGCAGTTGCTAATCCACATATTTGCAGCTCTGGTTTTGTACCACCAAACGGAATTGTAAGGTGAGAATGTCGGTTAAGGAAATTGTGCCTTAGAACTACTTCACAGCAGAGGTTCCTCATTACCAGCAACTTGACTCTAGAATAGAAATTTTCTTTTAGCTTGAGGTTAACTGTGCAGAATCCGATTACCGACAGGATAAGGACGAAGTGGCCATCGATATTTGATTAGAACAGGGAAAAATTTTCCATTTGTTTGTTTCCACGATATGTGCATCGATAAAATTTTCAGAACTCCCCGTATCAATAAGAGTGTGGAGATTTAGTCCGTTCACTCTGGCCGGCACAATTGTTTTAGAGAGGCATTTGGGAGAGGCAGTCGATACGGTAGATAGAGATAGGGTGGTGGCTAAACGGGTTTTCTGTAAAGGGGCTGACCAACAAACCTTTAAAAAATGTCCCTGCTTGCTACATCCATGACATCTACTGTTTCGAGCCAGGCAGGATGAACGAGCATGTTTACGAAAGCTGCAGAAGTAGCACTTAATCTCAGATGAAGCGATATTAACGGGTTGTTCAATAGTATTTGAAGAATCCTTATCCTGGGGGGTCACAATGCTGGGAATTTGTTGAGAATAAGAATGGGCAGGAATAGTAGCCCCTGAAAAATCAGGTTGCGAATAGAGATCTGATTGTTTCTGGGCCATGTTCAACGTAAGGGCTAGTTCATAGGCAGTAGCCAGATCCAAGTCCTTGTTTTTGAGCATCTGTTGTCTGATTTGTTTAGACCGTACTCCACTAATGAAGGCATCTCTTATTAAGATATCCCTAGCTTGGCTTGCTGTCAGGGCAGTAAAATCACAGTCGCGACTTAATATTTTCAGGTTTTGAAGATACAGCTCTAGACTTTCTTCAGTCTCTTGACGCTGAGTAGCAAGTAAGTATCATGCAAAAATGGAGTTTTTCTTCTTAATGAACATACCATCCAGAGTGCTTATAGCAGTATCGTAATTTTGACACCTGGACAAACACTTATAAATGGGAGTGGAAACATGGTGTAATAAGAGGGTTAATTTCTGTGAGCCAGTCAATGCCAACGTAGAAGAAGACTGCAGCTCCGAAATAAATCCCTTGAACATATCACTCCAATGTTGCCATTTGTCACTAGAGTCAGGGTCTGAAGTATCGAGGTCCAGTCGGTCAGGCTTGAGATATTGTTCCATTATTTAAAGTTGAATAAATTGTAATGAATAATCCGAGGCGAATAAACTTTGGTAAGCTTTATTCAACTTTAATACAGCTATAAAAAAAGAATTATGCTAGTATATTTATAAGCTTATGTGGAGTCGTCCATTATACCAAACAAGAGGGAGCAGGTTGTGGGAATCACTTACAACACTCAGTATGGATTTCTGTGTTTACAAGCTTACTGGAGTAGATTTTAATGTTTATAAAGCACACTGATACATATTTTTCTCAGTAATTTTCTCATTGTACATCCATTTATGATTTTAATACATTTGCATGTCTATGGGGTGTAGTGTTAGAGGTAGTGCCTTGGTTTCAGTAGTTAGCCACATCCATTGACACTGGTCCTTACTACTGGCCCAACTCTCATCTATGGAAAGCAAGAAGATGCTAGTGCATAGCATCAGCCACATCCTGATAAACCACAGGCTAAACTAGATGCAGGTAGCACACAGAAGGTGAGTACATCTAGCTCCCAAACTTTTAAGTGCATGAAGTTGATTGTCAGGTACTAACATTAGTGACATCACCTCTGTGAAACTCAGCATGAGGTTAATTGTCAGCTAAGTAGGAAATATATGTTGACATTATACTGCAACAATCTACTAGTATTCCAAATGCTGGCTAACTAACCGGGATCAGTTAGGCAGCCACACCTGAATTGACAGGATGTGCCAGTGCAGAGAGCTGAACCAAGGATAACAGGGTTTTAGTTATTTGGATGGTGTACAGATCTCACAGGACCTATAACTGAATGAATGATCAGACTAGGTGTAGGGCACAGTGCAAGAACCTAGTTGTATCCCATGTACAAGGTGGTAAAAGGATAAACCCTCAACCCTGAATGTCATATTGACTATGGATGCAAGTTTTACTGGAAATTTGTGGCACACTGACTGAACCAAGTGTTGTCTATGTCAGGAGGTTAAGAAAGAAGATCTAAAGTTCCCCCAGGCCTATCCTGCCAGAAGAGGTACTGATGGATACATAAACTTGGCAACAAATATTCCTGTTTCACTCACTCAATACACTGCCAATCAAGTTAGACCCTGAAAAACTTGACAAAGGTGGTGGAATAGAAGAAACCTCGAGACAAAAGAAGGCACTATATCATGAGAGTTGTGGGCTTCTATTTAAGAACACAAAGTTAAGGAGAAGTAAGATCCCACGAAAAGTTCAAGAAGCTAAAACACAAGAATGGCAATGCAGGTGAATAATAGAATAAATGAATGTGCCAAAAAATCAGTGATAATAAACTCCTTGCCAAACTTGCAGGAGATGCCATAGCACAAGAACTGCAATATCACACTGCCTGCTTGGCGGCAATGTATAAATGGACTCTTACCCTCATCTGTAAATGGTAACAAATACCTACTTACTGTAATCGACAAATTCTCCCATTTTCTGTTTATTTTTCCCTGTAAAGACAGGACTAGCAGAACGAACTATTTTCAATTTTTGGTATGCCTGATAGGGCCTCTGACTTCCTCTCAGAGGAAGCTAAAAACTACTTGCATGAAAAAGGCCTTGATACATCAAAAACAAATAGATACCATCCAGAAAGAAATGAGAAACTTAATGGCACTTAAAGGCTATTCAGGTAACCTTACATTCTCGTAACATGAAACCATCCTATTGGGAAAACTTCCTAACAGATGCACTCCATTCAATTAAATCCTGAGTCTGTACAACAATTAACATAACCCCTCATGACAGATTATTTAAATACAGCCACAAATCCACATCTGGAAGTTTGATTACTTCTTTGGCAAAACCAGGACTGATATACATCAGGAACCACACCAAGTGAATTAAGCATGACCCTCCCATTACCCCTGCTACACTTCTGGAAATCAATCCTCTCTGTGCACATATACATCTACCTTCCAGCATTGAAACTACAGTCAATATGAGAATTATAGCTCCCAAATCTACTAATGGAGAGGACACTTGCACTAATGACAACTCTGCAAACCCTGTAGATGTCTGTGAATCATCTGTTAGTGATCATGAAACTTCTGCCAGCAAAAATGAGGAGATTCCACCTAAAGGAACCAACACACACTGAGGATAAGGATCCCATTGAATCTGGTTGGGGGACTAATAAATTCCTCCCATCATAATATTTCTGAAAGAGGAAAATGTAGCGAAAATTGTGACTGCCCCTAGATGAGTTGTACACTGGCAGATACTCTACTGTATCCTAAGGGCACAAAGTTACTTCCCCCTTTCTGTTAAAAAACTGCGATATTTATTCAAATGTAACATGTGTATTTGCTATTAAAACCTATACAAATGATTATAAAGTCTTGTTATCTCCTACTACATCTTCCTCTCACAACATCACTCAACTAGAGAAGAGAATTACCCAACATGTACCAATATATGTTAGAAAAGTTTGACTGGAAAATTTACTTAAATGTTCCATTATATCTGGATTTGCAATCTCAGAATAACTTATTAAAAATTGGAAATGTCCTTCCATGAGGATATGTTCTCAGTTTTGAGCAGATCACATTCCAGCAACTATGTACTTGAAACAATTTATATTAGGTCAAGACAACTATCCTTATGTAAACAAAAGGATTGGTTGTTAGGACTTAATGTAATCTGCCTACCAATATACCTGTCCAATATATTATTGATATGTGTATATTTGCTTCTTCATGCTTCCCTTTTTATGTCAGTGTACATAATATCTTGATTTCCTTTATTGAGTCCTGATGAGTGAAGAACAATAAACAGTTAGTATAGTTGCTTTATTTTTTCTTTTCACATAATCAACTACTGTAGTTGAAGTTTTCCTGTAGTTCCCTTTTAATTATGTTTGTTTCTATTGCATTAATTTCTCAAATCACTATCTGTGAATTCTTTAAAGCCAGATTTTTCTTGTGTTTTCTATTTGTTATTGTTCTATTATCTCTGTTTATCTTTTTCACAGTTTTAAGTGTTATGTTCCCATCATTCAAAACTCACCAACATTTTATTTCTCTTTTGAAGCTATAACTTTCTTAAAACCCATGGAAGGAAAATACTTAAAACCCATATGAGGAAATACTGAAAATTTCTTGATCCATCAGACTTCCCAAAATTTGAGTAAATGACCAAATATTAAATCTATTTTTGAAAAACTTTCTTTGTTGGGTTGAGAACTTTTTTGCACCCTCTTATATATCTGAAATCAAAAAATAAATATCAGTAATTATACTATGCACTTATTTACAATATGATGAATAATCCTGGGGTTGCATAATAACATTTCATGCCACAAAATTTCATTGTAAATATTTCTGGTAAAAATAGATAATATAAACTGAACTTCACATAGCATATTTATCATATATTATATACTAAAAATTTTACATCAGTTGATTAATATCAATTTAATGATGAAAACATTAATTTTCCTAATAAAAGCTGACACTGTATTATTATGTTATAATTAGAAAAGAATAAAAATTAATACTTTTTTCTAATATTAAAATATATCCACATATAATTTAAAAACCTTCAGGTTGTCCAAATCTCTGCATGGGAATAAATTTTAACATCTTTTGAAGGACTTTCTCAGGAACAGCATCAGTCATTGGTGTGGATATAAAGCCAGGCAAAATGGCATTCACTCGGATGTTGAACCTAAAGTAAAACACAAATATGACTATTATTGTTACAAGAATAGTCATTAACATTTCATTTAACTATAAATTCTTGTGTCAATCAAAAAGCAATTATCAGATTTATATTTTATAGTTTTCTTTTAATTATTTCAAGAGTAACTAACAGTACAGGTCTTGTTTAAAATGTCAGTAGTTCCTCTATAAGAAGCATAAAAAGGCAATCAAGTGCTTGCTCTCCTCTGTCCAGTGGGGAGGACGCAAGCATTACATCAACAGATAAGTCTGTGCCCAATGTCATGGAGGGCTGGGAATGCTGCACTTGGAGAGTCACAAACTCGCCTCGAGGCTGGCTTTCCTATGCCATATGTTGACAGGAGACTCTATTTTGCTGAGTAGTGTAAGGGCTGCCTTCCTTTTCCTTACTATCACTCCTCCCATCTCGCAGGCTGAGCACCTTCATAAGCCCTGGGATCAATCAAGTTTCCTCCTTGAGTGTCGAGTGGCCTTGAGGGTCAATCCATGGTCCAGTGACCTTTCTTGGCCGAGGAGAGCCTTATATCATGAACTAGTGGAGGGTGTCATGAAGGATCCACTACATGGCCAGCTCGGCTTGTTGGCAGATGAGTTTTGCTCCTTTTGGTCTTGGGCACCAGAGGCAGGTTACCTCAGCAACCCCGAGTTTTCACTTACCTGGTGATTGGTTCGGAATAGGCTATCTCTCAATGACAGGGCTTTCAGATTTATCAGACTGTGAACAATGTGACCTTGGCTTAGAGGAAACAACTTGGCATGCCTTCTACTATTGTCCTCTAGTGCACCACCTATGGAGTTATGTCAACTCGTATCGTTCCTGAAAAGTTTGTGCTCATTGATCACACATACACATGCGACAATGTGTTGCCCTGTATTCTGGGGTGAAATGGATGGTGTTTCTGACACTGATACTCACAGCTCAAATGATGATATGGACAATGCGAATGGAGGAAATCTTGCGATGTAAACACTATTCTCATCAGGATCTAATTCGATTCTTTGAGCATCAGCTCAGGGTGAAAATTAGAACTTATACAAAGTGTTTGGTATCGACAGTTTTCAGCAAAAGGTGGGTAACTATGTCAAGCCTGGTTCATGTGAACAGGGATAGCCTTGATTTTTTTTTTTAATTCTCCCTAATTCACAATAGGGCAACTTCCTGTAGAGCCCTCCCCTGGTTATGATAGACCCTTCTTGTGTACCTAGTTAATGTAAGTGTTGTTCCTGGCCTGTTCCCAGCTTTCTCTTTGGTTATGATCCAAGTTGAGATTCCCAACCTCTCCAATTTGTTGTTGGTCCCTTTTTCATCTTGATAGGGTCAGTTTTCCTATGACCATATTTATTTTTATCCTTCCTTCTCCCTTAGCAAGAGAGCCCCTTGATTTTGTCTGAAGATGGAAGACAGCAGCCTTTCTTATTTCTTTGAGGGTTGGATTAACATCAGTTATATTTAGTTTGTGTAATTTTGTTATATTTTAGTTTGTTTTGGGGTTCACCCCCACTCATTGTTTATCATCAACAGATTTTTATATATAATTTTATACTCAACAATATTTATATCATGGGGTGTTTTGTAGGTTCTTTTGTGTGTGCAATATTGTGATATATGTAAGATTGAATGATGATGAACAAGTTCTTTTGATGGATGTGCAAATTGTAATGGTGAATTGGATTAGCTTGGTATAAGGTAGTGTCAACCAGCCTCAAGCCATTCACCCTTTTAGGTCTCATGCCACAATTGTTGTATTTTTTTTATGCACAATAAATCACACGTCAAAGTGCCAAGGGAGAAATCACAGCCCAATCCATCCTGGAAGTCTATGCTCCTGCTGCTGCCACTGTTGATAGGAACAGTCCATTAAGTTGGGGAAAAGGGGAATAACAATAAACAATAGTTAACAATCTAATTCCTTTTCTTATTTAAATGTAACATTATTCTGTCATCTCTCCATTATTCAGACAGTCTATCATACAGTAAGGTGAGGCACCTCTGTTAGTTAGCAATTTGATTAGACTTCACCCATGTTATTGAACAGATTTCTCCCTTATCAAACATTTCTTTGATACTTGCTATTTCTATTCTCAATCTCTTATCTGCAGCAAGTTTAGTTGATTTGATTGCTTTGACCAAATCCCCATTATCTACAAAACACTTGATAGAAATGATCTTTTGGTGGTTATTATTTAACAACTCACTTTGCAAGAATGCAATCTTTATGTCAATAGTATTGGCACACCAGTTATGTTGTGCAATGACTGATAATATTGTTCTTAGAGATGACTTGTGGATTGTTGGTGAATTTTGGGGTATTTCTTCAAGACAATCTTCCTCAAATCCTTTTGCTACCAACCTAGATTTTAACTTCATATTGTCACCAACATTTTTCAACGTAATTTACCCACCTAGATGATATGTATTTTTGTCTGTTATCCTCTACTTCTAAATAAACTTTCAGTTATTTCCATTTTCTCAGTTCATTTCCCTTTGCTTCTGAAAAATCAAGATTTGTTGATATGTATAACTCTTCTGTTTGTATTTCCATCTTCACAGTTAATAAATCAATAGACATACATGTTCCTTTTAGGTCATTAGGTTTCATATATTCAATATTGTACCAGTAAATGCTTATTCAATATTGTACTTGGTAGATGCTTTTCCAGCCCTTCCAAGAATTATGGCTTTGTGTTCTTTTCCATTTTGTGCAACTTGGAACTGAATTATTTGATCTTTCTGAACTTTAATAACATTGGGGTTCACTTGTCTAACAGAGGCTGATCTATCCTTCTCTATGTTGACAATAGCTCCAAAATCTTCATCTTTGTTTCACTGTCTAGATGTGCATCTCTAGGAAAGTTGTCATTGTTCTCAGTACCATTTTCTGCAGCATCCATATTTTCCTTTTCTTCATCTTCACTGTCATTACTTTCTATATTATTATCAGTTGTTTTATTATTATGGCTAGCTTTTGATTCTAAAACTCTCAAGAGTCTACTTTCATGCATGCAATATCGCAACTACATTGTCTTTTCCTATAATCCAGCCTGGCCTTTTCCATTCACCATCTTTTAAGAACACCTTTCCACTTTATTCAAAGTCTTCTCCCTTATATTTTATTTGTTTTCTCAGTACTCTTTGGATTCTTTCTGATGATCCTGTCACCAAATATGCTTTTTCATCACTTCATCAATAGTTTTATCTTCCAGAGCAGGGAGTTTGTTGATAATATTAGATGGTAAGTTTAGATTCCTGCTATATGCTATCTGATATGGACTAAATTCACAGCCCGACTTGTAACAGTTTCTCACAAAATAACATTTTCTTCTTTTTGTGGCAAAAAGCACATTTAAATATCCTTTAGATCTTCAGTTTCCAGATTGACTTTGCCTGCTGTTTTTAATATATTTAACAATTTTTCTTGTAAAGCATGAACAAATTATTTATGTAATTTTAAAAATGAATTTCTTTTGTCACTTTTTTCCATGTTGCTATCAACTATAAGAACAATGTTTTCATCAATGGTAATTTCCTTATCCTTTTCTCATGATGTTCACATAAAATGTGGTTTGAATGTTTACTTTCTGACAAAACATCATTATGTGAACTTTTCTAATGTCAATAACCACACCTGCCTAAGCTAGAGATTGCTTACTTAATAGCAATGGAATTTCACACTCTACTATGTAGTCTAGCATTGACATTGCCTCAGTTTCTTAAAATGTTCAAATTTTGTATAGGCTTCATACATTTGCTATGTCTTTTCCTTTTCAAATAATTTACCCAATTCTGTTAGAACATTTTTAACACCATCATAAGTCATTAGGAGAGATTTATCTATAGCTGTGGCAATTTCTTGTGGTTTTCCTTCCAAGGAGAGTGCCAGTGCTATACTTTGTCTTCTTTTGTCTATTTCAGTAAACATTTGTCATAATTCAACTTCCAATTTCCAAATCTTCTTAGTAGATACCCCTGATGGGGGTCAATATAAACATCCTGTTCAATTTCTTCTTGACTCAGATTCAATCCAATATATTTGAATGGACTTGTTGCTTCTTTTCCAACTTCAAGTATACTTCTGATTTTTGATACTATGTCCTTTTGGAATTTATCACTTCCTACCCATAAAAAGTCATCAATGTGCACAGCAAATATTCCATACAGGCCCTTATCAAACCAATAAAATATTGCTGGATCAATCTTAGATATATGTCCTTTGAGTTTTAACAGTTGTTTTTATCTTTTGATACCATTGCAATGATGCATCTGATAAACCACAGATTAGAGTTGGTTGGTTTGGCAATTTATGTTTCGGTATTGGTTTCTGGTTTTGTTTTCTTTGATACCACAGTTTTTGATTTGTTTTTTGGTTTTTAATTTAGTATTTTTGCTTTCTAAGGAAGCCATTCATTTTCTTGTGTAATGATAGCATTTCCAATTGATATCTGATTTAGTTTGAGATTGATAAATTTGCAACTTAGTCCATTCAACTCACAATTTCTTGTGTATTTCTGGTTCAATCTTAAAAATATTCATATGACCGAAAAGAAAAGAAAATAATCTTTCTAAATATGTAATTTGTATGTGCTTTTATTCATTGAATTATTTTTTTACAGCGAGTTAAAACAGTATTGCTTTGACGAGCCAAAAATGCAAATTTTTTTTTTTCAAGACTAAATTTTACATGTTACTTTGTTTCGCAAAATCAAGGTGACCAATCTTTATCAATATTCTTGAAATTGTACACTCAATTTGAAGACAACTTAAACTACAACCAGGAAGATGTTCATTTCTTCTCTGGCCTTGAGGAAGTGAATTCCTTCAAAAATTATAAAGTAAGCAAAAGAAACAACAAAAAAAAACAGTAATTCTTTTCTGGTATGCTAGTCAACTGTTATTTGGGTTTTGCAAATAAATTTCTTCTAAACAAGGAAAATGTATGAGTTGTTTTTCCCCTAAATAAATTAATGTTTTTATCTAGCGAATACACT